TCTTATCTGAACAGTATGTATAATTTAGATCATGATATAAAAATTATAAAATATATATTTTTGTGGTAATGCCTGAGTTTTATATTGTGTTTCATAAATGTGGAGTATATATACTTTTTTGTACTTAAATCACTTTTTCTGCAGAAGTAGATAATGGTATCTTTGTGTTCCTAAACACCACCTACATGATAGTCTACAACTCTCATTTCAACTTCAATGACATTACAGACTGTGCAAATGTTCATGTGGTCAATGTGTTTATTTATTTACCTATTCTTATTTCAGGTGCTGTTGACATTCAGGGATATAGCCATTGATTTTACTGAAGAGGAATGGGAATGCCTTCAACCTGCTCAGAAAAACTTATATAATGATGTGATGTTAGAGAACTATAGAAACTTTGCCTTCCTGGGTAAGTTGCAATTTCCTTTTAAATATTTTAATTACTAATTATTATTTAATTTACTTCTGTTGTATCTTCTGGGAACTTCTCTGTAAGAATGAGTTTCAGATTTGTGTTTCAAGAAAAAGGGCATTTTTTGTACAGATCTTTTACTCTTTTAATATATATTATTTTACTCTTTAATCTCTCTCTTTCTTGGTGTGTTATACATCCTTCACTTTAGATAAGTAGTACCTAACATAATTTAGTGATGTAAACTATTGTAGCCTAGACATAGCAGGGGACAAGGTTGAGATGTTCAAATGGAGAAAACCAAACTAAAAAATGTTGACAGAGAAGTTATTCAGCAGAAAAAAGTTTCAGAAGCTTACGTTTATTTCTTTTTATTGTAATTATTGAACACATACTGCCCTATATTTATTACATTTTCAAATTCTTTGTAGTCCTCTGTTTTCTTCTTTAGTGATGTCCCAGTTTATTTATATTAACCACCAAAACTTACCTTTTGTTGTGAGGGCCAGCATGGTCTCTTACAAATTTTCTTGTGGGGAAACCTGTAAAGAAGCAAACAGAAGAGAGACACACACACACATTGAAAAGAAAAAACTGGCCACTCCTCTTCTTGGCTGCACTTAGTATACTCCCAAATCACATAGCTTCTGTTACCATTCATACATTGTAACCCAGCCTTATTTTAACCCCAAGTGCTAGCTAACCAAGATAAGGTATAGTTAATACAAACATAGAGCCCCTTCTCCCTAAGGACATTACCACAGAAACTAGATAGTGCACCTGTCGAGTTGTCTTAATAGCTTCAGGGAGAAACTGCTGGACATTAACATTCTGGGACTCAGGGTGCCAGTTACCATCACCCCCACACTTTCTGGTCTATTTCCAAGGTAAGAATACCTACAGCCCCACCTCCTTTTTTAAGGCCTTTTGAATAAATAATATTACTTATCTCCTTAATGCTGGTGGGGGCAAATTTGGGCAGGCATAAACAACAGCAAGTGCCAACATTAGTAAACATTCACCTATGAATATTTTTTGACCCAGATGAAATTGAGTAAACATGAAGTTAGCCATTCCAACAAGTCTAAACATCCATCATCTTGTTGGACCTTACCAATGATATATTTAAGTTAATCTAACTCTTTTGAAATAAAATTACTGTTATCACTTAACTTGAAGGAACACATTTTATTAAACTTCTGATATCTTTCATGATGTAGCAATAACAGACAATCAATTGCAGCATGATTGTCAAGCATGGCTTGATAATGTTTTTGTTCTTCATGAAGCATTTAAACAGCCATGGAGGCATGACTAATACTTTTTATGGTAGCATAGGCGAGTTTCATAGTAGTTTTGTAAGCCCGTTGAGCTAATCCAGGGGAACCCATTAAGGAGAATGTCAAAGCAACAAATTCTGCCTTAGAGAGAAGATTCACTGAATCATTAGAGGTTTTATCAAGAGGAATAGACATTTTATGAATAAATTGTGCAGGATGGCGACATATTAAATACTATGTGGATGGTAAGGACACAGTTATTCTGCTAAGACAATAATGAATACCATGAGATGTTTTTGCAGGTATGTAACAATTTCATCCAAGTGAGTCAAGATATTGTAATGGGTTGTAGAAGTCCAGGATCTGACAGTACTGAATTTCCCATAGCTGGTGTACAAAAACGGAGCAACATTGTTACTAAGACCAAAGCATTTACAGAGTTTTGTGTGAGTTTACCAATCAAAGCAGTAAGAAAGTTATCTAGAGCACATTCTAACCTCATTTTAGCCAACACCTGATGAGCTGAGGTTGTTAATGGTTTTATATCACCCCAAGTAACTGAAATTATAGTACATTGAGTTCATCTTTTAACGTTTCTCCTCTTTTGAGGAGAATGATTATTCTCTTGTTTGGAGGGACTCTTCTCTTCCAGGGTTAAATGAAACTTAGGAATCAGCTTGTGAAGTCCCTGATGCACATTTGTAATTGCTATATTTCATGCATCAAGCTAGAGTCCAAACAGGACATGTTGGCATAAGTGTAGCACTCTGCTTTTCCCCATGTGATAAAAGGCATAGGATCATGTCATGCTGGGTCAGGTGGAGTCTTATATATTACATAATTTTTGGGGTAATGGATGTTTGTGAATAAAATGTCTATTCACTGCAGATTACCAATTTTGAGTATTTAACTTTATGTTATATATTGAGCACATTAACTGTAAATAAAACAATATTTAATGCAAATTAATATGAGAGAGGCTAGATCTTTGTTTCTGTTTTAAAAGGCAAGTATTAGGATACCACTCAACAAAAGCTTGTCCAAAAGGATTATGAGAAATTTCATTATTTAAAACTGTGTCTTATTGATTCAAAATTGTGCAAAAGGATGAGATGTAAAGGGAGGGGCATTATTCACCTTTAAACAAACAGGGCCTCTAGGAGCAGATCATGCTTGGTTTCTTTCCATGCTCTCTGCTGGAACTGACTTGGCAGTTTCTTTCTTCAGATTCAATTCTGTTAGTAAATTTTTTTCTTTTGTTTTGTATTTTGCAATATTGCATTGATAATCATAAATATTTTGAAGTGAAAAATTCATTATACTTCTACTTTGTAAGTTGTGTTCTATATTTCTTATTATTTTCTATTTTGATTAATGATTTAATTTCTGGATCATTGCTTTTTATTGTGGCATGCTTGGATTCTTTTCATATATATATGTATATATATATATCCCACTTCTCTTTATATATCCTTTAGGTTTTTAATTTTTACACTATTTCACAAGTTGCTTAGACTTATCTTAAACTTGGTTCTCCTTGATAAGCCTCTCCCATATTGGTAGAATTTCAGCTTTGCACACTAGGAATGCTTCTCTCATTTTTTCCTAAAGAATTATTCACATATACAATTTGTGCTTATTTATATTAATATTTTTGGTCTCAATTTCACTCTCTAAACTTTCTTTAAATAGTTTTTTAATGTTTTTTTTAACATTTATTTTTTAATTTTCGGTGGACACAACATCTTTATTTTATTTTCTGTGGTGCTGAGGATCAAACCCTGTGCCCCACGCATGCCAGGCGAGCGTGCTACTGCTTAAGTCACATCCCCAGCCCCATTATTTAGTCTTCTTTGAGTAATTCATAACAGGCAGTATCCTTTTTTGTCACTTGGATTGAACCATGCTTCTCTTTGTTTATATTTGCTGTATTATTTCTATGTGTTCATTAAAGGAGCCACCCATAGATTATATAGCCCATTATGGGAAAAAAAGTATAAAAAACTTTTAAATAAATAAAAATAGGCAAGAACAGTGCTACATCCTTGTAATATTTGCTAATTGGGAGGCCATGCAAAAGTACTTCATGTTTTAGAGAGGTCATAGAAATTTAGAAACAGCATGACTCAAAACAATTTTAAAAATGCTTGTGTTGTAGTTCAGTGATATAGAATTTCGGGGGTTAATCTCAAGCACTACACATGAAGAATTAAAAGTTGAATGACCTAAAGATCCAGAAATGTGAGTGCTAAATATGTATCCATGAAAATTTAAATCAGAAAATTGAAGAGATACCTCTGCTTTTGTGTTTAGCGCACATATTGTTTTCATTTAAAGCTAGGGACTCGATGTATGTGCCCATCAATGATCAAATGAGTAAAAATATTGTACTTCTATACTATTGTTATTCAGTTGTAAAAATATTTTATCTTTTAAAGTGTTATAAGAAATATTTGCAGGACTTTGCATTAAGTGGAATGTGGCATGCAGAGATTAAGATGCAGGAGCATTTGATTCACATGTGGAAGTCTGGAAATCAGAAATTTAGTGAGTAAAATTTTGCTCACCAGGTACTGTGCTTTGTGTAGGGTTGATATTATAGTCAAAGTCTCATATTTTTTTAATTTTATTGCACATAAGAGGCTCAAGAGTTTTGTTTTACCACATGGTGAGTGTATTATGTTCTTTATAAATACTATTAGAAGGAATACAATACCTTGTAAGAACAAAACTGATAATTATATGAAAAAATAATTATGTTAATTCATTCTTTTTTTGTGCATTATTTTGTTCTATTTAGTCATTTTACCTTTTACATATAGTATAAAATACATGATATATTTAGGAAATAAACAAAGGTGTATTTGTCAGTGGAAGAAATCATCATATCACACAAATTTAGAAATATAAAAATCAATTTATTATGCTTGATTGTTATGTGTTGACTTCATCCAAGTATTATAGCCATAGGCTAATGCAAGGTTTTTATAGTCTTTTTTAAGAGTCTATAGCCTCTTTACCCTTGTTGAATATTTGTGGTATTGTCACTTAAAATATACTAGTTACTTTCATGTCTGTATGTCATGGTAGACCAAAACCAGTTTTTGGACACTCTTTGAAAAAGCCACAAATGTTTGTATATGTTTTACATTTTTCTTATTCTACTGAGAGTGAAGGTAGCTGGTAGATATTTCCTAAATACACAATACTATCTTATGGAGGACAAAAGGCTGTGGATGATAAAAGTAACATACTTACCTTCTCTTTTTTATATTACTTTTCTTAATGATGTACTCATCTTGGATACTGTGGTCTCTACAAGAATTGGGGTAATATTCTCAAGGTAATTTTGTCTATACATTTTGATTAAACTGATATATTTTTCTTTATGATGATTTGGACTTACTCCTGATGTATTTATTTTATTTTAATTTCATGTTATGTATGCAAAATATATTTATCCCTGTCTAATAGATATTGTTTTTTTATTTTTGTTTATTTCAGCCATGACTCTTCATGATACCCAAGAATATATATCAGAAAAGGGCATAAAACACATATTTCACAAAGTGATAAGTGGGAAATATAAAAGTTATGATCTTGACTATTTACAACAAAAGAAAATATGGGAAACTATAAGTGAGAGTGAACACCAGAAATCATATAAAAAATCAGGCCTTGTTCACCACCAGAGAATTCACACTGGAGAGAAGCCCTACAAATGCAAAAAATGTGGCAAAGCTCTTAGTCTAAAATCAAGCCTTATTCGCCACAGCAGAACTCACACTGGAGAGAAGCCCTACAAATGTAAAGAATGTGGCAAAGCTTTTAGTCTAAATTCACACCTTATTCGCCACAGCAAAACTCATACTGGAGAGAGGCCCTACAAATGTAAAGAATGTGGCAAAGCTTTTATTGAAAAAACATACCTTTTTAGGCACAGAAGAACTCACACTGGAGAGAAGCCCTACAAATGTATAGAATGTGGCAAAGCTTTT